CCTGCGCTCTTCACACGCCTCCTGCAGGGCACATTTGGTAAAGTTCGTGCATTCAGGCTGCCGCCAAGCACAGGGAGTAGCACAGCTAAGGAAAAGGGCAAAAAAAAAATGGCGGACGGAGTGGTTTGGCGACCCCCGTGAAATGGTCGTGCGACCCCAAATGGGGTCGCGACCCACAGGTTGAGAACCGCTGAGCTAAGGTAATAGTCATCACATTGAAGATCAGTAGGGTTCTGCAGCATCCCCTTCTTCAGACAATATGCAGATCAGTATTTATGTATTTATTTATTTATTTATATCCTGCCATTATTATTTTACAGAGAACTCAAAGCAGTAAATTTGAAATTGAATGGCGTATGAAGAACTAGAATAGAATAGAGCTGGAAGGGACCTTGGAGGTCTTCTAGTCCAGCCCCCCGCTCAAGCAGGAGAACCTATACCATCTCAGACAAGTGACTGTCCAGTCTCTTCTTAAAAATCTCCAGTGATGGAGCGCCCACAATTTCTGAGGGCAAACTGTTCCACTGGTTAATTGTCCTCACTGTTAGGAACTTTCTCCTTAATTCCAGGTTACTTCTCTCTTTGGTCAGACTATGGTGACACCAATGACAGATAAAATCCCAAATGCACTTCTGTAGCCTTATCTTAAAAGAACTAACTTGTTCAACTGTCCCTGTTTCTTAGAAAGCTGTTTTAAGGATAGTCTGCGCTACAGTCTTTTACTTAGGAGTAAGATCCATTGTACTGAACATTTCTGGAAGGACATGTTTACAATTGATTACAAGTCTCCCAGTTTTTATTGAATGTGATGCAACATTTACAAAGTTTCTAATGAGGTCAATGTAAGAAATATGCTTAGATGAGGTATAATTGTGAGCAATCCAGATTGTACTTATAGCTAAACCTGTATCTCTGTAGTATAAAGTTAGAAAGATTTGAATTCAATTAGATTGTTATTTGGTGGCAGACTGCACAGGTGAATACAACGAAAGGCTTCCATTATTCCTGCTGAATTTCATTTGGATTATTAAATAAGGATTATTTCAGTGATTTTCTAACGTTACGATATCACGACCTCCCACCCCCAAAATTGAACTAATTATTTCAAGAGGTTAAAAAAGGACAATAATATATACAATATGCAATAATGTACAATTTTACAATTAATAAATATTTCCCACTGAGGGCTTGTTAGGAGAAAATGGAAAGCAACGCCCAGACTGAATTCTGATGATGCTGTTCCTCCCTAGGCAGACTGTTTAAAAATAAGAATCACTATGAAACCATCTCCTCTACCTTATCCTGTTTGCAATCCCCCTCAGTCTGAGAATCCTGAATTAGCTTATAAAATATAGTTAGGAATTATTTGCAAATGATTAAAATGAAGTAACTGTAAAATAAGCAAAGCAAAAGCCTTCAAACCCTAGCATGCTACCTTTTCAAATGACAGTTCCTCTCTTTAAAATATATATATATTAATTGTAAAATATTTCTTGAAAAATAACATCTAAGTAAAGTGCAACATAATCCTATTCATGTTTATTCAGAAATAAGTCTCCCTGACATTAAAGCAAGCCAATTGAGTTTACTTAAAACTGCAGCTTTAAGTATCATAGAAATCATGAATTAAGTTAAAGACACAATTCTAAGTTTTAAGGACTGTATCCAGTGGGGTTCTTCCACTCGTACAACACTTCCAATCCTTGTAAAAACCACTCTTATATGAACATTCAATTAATTTTTTTTATATAGACAAGCTGTATAAACCATTTTATCTTCTATTTGTTCTTTGTGTAATTATTAATGGAATATCATCTCTCATTTTTCGTACATTCCTAACTATTCTTCCACAATATTTTGAATAGTTTAATATTACACAAACCTTATCAATATCCAGATTCCATGCCTTAATGTAGCCATCGCTTGATGCTGTTACTAGAATGTGTAACCCTTCCATTTTGAAATTGTACAATGCTTTGATTCTAAGGATCAAGAGATAATATTACATTTTAAAATTTAAATAAATAAAAAAATATTCACAATATTCAAAAAAGGATTGCAAAATGCTAACAACTATTACTTAACCAAATTCTACCAATATATGAAGAACAATTAACTTTGAATCGTGCAATGGAATCTTACTTTGATCCCTCTCTGCTTTACTCCAAACACTATCTGATAGAATAAAATGTGAAAAAGCGCAAGGGAAAGGAAACAGAGAGCCTAATTTACCAATGGTATCCATTTTCACCAATGGTCAACATAAAAAATACAGCAACAGAGCTATAATACTACTCCTCCAAAGGTGAGCACATAAATGATATGTTCAAAGAGAAAGACTGATCTAAATAAAAATACTCCAATACTCAAAATTTATAAAGTATTGACTTTTGATATTAACCCTATGGCAATTACATGTACTATCATCAAACAAACTCAGAAGTAAACAGTATGTTAAAAATTAACATGTTTTTAAACATATGCAATTATTTTATTAACAAAAAATACCTGTTTTCATGAGCTTTAAATTCACAAAGGCATTTTTGAGATTCACAATCAAATAATCGTACGAATTCTTCATCTCCTGTAATAGCAAGTATGGAATCCTTCAAGGAAACATGAAAAAAAGGTGTTATGTATGAGATTGGATTCATTTACAACGTTCTAAATTATTTGACACTATTTTTCTACTTACAGTGATAAACTTTATTGAAGATATCCTCTTTTCTGTAGCAATGGTACCAGAGATAGAAGCCGTTTCCAGATCGTATATATCAACTTTGTTAGCTATAGCCACCACGTATATCTCACCACTAGGCGACCATTTAACAAGATATGCATCTAATAAATGTAAATCATATAGATTTTGAGAAAAAAAAGATTAAATCACAGGTGTCATCTATTGCAGATGAGATTTGGCTCTAAGTAGTAGCCAATAGATGTTTATTTATTACTATTTAAGAAAAACCGTGCCTTTACACTTTTTATACTCTTGGAATTCAAGATTTATTAGCCTATTTGTCTTTTGATGTTAAACAAAAATTCTTAAAATTAATATTAATAATCCATTAATAGATTACTATGTATAACCTATTCATAAGGATCTAAATGTTAAATTCAAGAAATACATCACACACTAGCACTTGGTAATAGAACAACTATGAAAGCCTTGGAAAAGATATTCAAAGACTGTGATGACTCTATTCGTACAAAAATTAGAATTGTATGCAATAGTATGACAGAGGTCCCCAACCCCAACCCCTGCACCGCAACCCACTACCAGGCTGTGGGCTATTCAGAACTGGGCCGCGCGAGTGGCTGGGCGGAGTGCGCACATGCAGCTCAACTTGCATGAGCGGCGGCTTGGGCACTCACGCACACTGGCTCGCTAAGTTAAGCTGTGGGTGGATGCGCCAGCCCGCCACTCACACAAGGTCTGTGTGCGCATGCTGGCCCACCACTCATGCAGCCCAGTTCCCCTCTCTCACCCACAGCCAGGCCGCCAAGCTGCAAAGTTTGAGGACCCCTGCTCTATGAAGCTGAAAATTGGAATTTTCAGAAGCATAACAGGAACATTTTGGTATTGGAGAAGACTCTTTGAGAATAACATGAACAGCTAAGATAATGAAACAAATCAACTCAAAATTCTCATTCAAAGCCTAAATGACCAGTCTCAAATTATTCTACTTTCGAAATATGTGAATACTTAGTTCTCCAGAGAACGCCCCAATACTAAGTAAGGTTACTTAGAGGAGAGGTCCCCAACCTATGGTCTGCGGCTGTTGGCCACCGGGCCCCAGGAATAGCTGGCAAGCCCTGTCCCACTCGCAGTAGCACCAACATGCGGGCACTAGAGGTCCCATTTGTGCATGTGCGGGGACGTTAGCACCACTGCCAGCATCACGTGGGCTCCAGCAGCCCATTTGTGCATGCGTGTGGGCACACTAGCACCGTCATGCGTGCACCCGTTTGCACATGCACATACAAGCTGTGCACACAAACATTTCCCTGCTGCTCCCTTTCCTTACAGGCCACCAAGCCGGAAAGGTTGGGGAACTCTGACTTAGAGGATACGGTTAAAAGAAAGAAAAAAAATATTCTATCACTACTAATTATACTTTGAGATATTGTCACAAGTGTTACAATTACTTGACTTTTTCTTCAAAATTAAATATATGAAATTAAATTAAAAAAACGA